GCGTGACCGCGACCGGGCGTGGTCAATCGGCGGGTCGCCGGGAACCGAGCACGGTCTCTGACGGTTGGCAGAGAATACACAGTATCCGAGTATATGCAGCTTTTACCTGGCTCTAACATTTGGATATGTTATGAAGGACGTTAACCTCGTCATCACAGTGTGGTTACCGTTGTTCTGCAATCTACATATACTGAGCAATTTAGACAAACATATTGCAAAATCAAAATTTCAAACGAATAGAACTCAATAACGGATTGTCGTACGACTGTGATGTTTGCAGTTTTGGACTGACGAAGTCAAGGAAAACATTTCCTAGCAAGCCTTTTTTCAAATTTTGTACTATGTTTTGCATGATACAATTTTCATCTTGCAGTGCATTGCATGAAAGCCATGACAACAATTTCAAAAATGTGGCTGCTAGGAATCATAAAGACATCGATTCTCTACACAATCCTGTCGAGTGAATCATCATTGCATGCATCACTATGCAGTTCTATTCATTTGAAAGTCATTGCACAGCTAGTTCATAAAATCGCCGAGAGATGTCTCTGGCTGTATGGCCCGCGCGTTTCGACGGTCCCCTCGGCCCGTCACTCAGCGGCGTTTGTTGACACAGTGTCACACCCATTAGTTACGGCGCTCCGCTGGCGTTCGGCCGCCGTCGAGGTGCTCTGAACCCTCCCTGCTAAGTTTCGCCGTGACCAGACGGGTCGGAGACTCATCCCACGATCTATCCATGAGCGGCGCCCAGCCAGGCGTCTCCTATCGCGCGCCTCTCACTCTTGATCGGGAGTACGCCGGGAAGAGCTTGTGAAAATCTAACAACTTTGAAAGATGTCACAAGTTTGTGTGAGTGGTATTACGAACAGCGAACAGGTATATTTTTACAATAGGTATTTGACCTGACCTGGGCAGTCCGTAGCCCGTATTTGACCGGACCTGGGCAGTCCGTACTGAACATAAATAAAATAATGAAAATAACCAGCAATGCCTACAAATTCCATGGAGACATAGACCCTGAGTGACGTGAGACCAAATATCAGTTCGACTGACTCAAAACCCTCGCCCTGGCAGTGTATTTTTCATACCCCTCCCCCGGCGTTTCGAAACTAAGCGTCGTAGCTCGCTTCGCAACAAAGAGTCGATGCAGTCGATTGCTCTCAACGATGATTGAGGATTATCAAATGACAGATGTGACGTATAATAGTGCCAGATGTGACTTATAATAGTGCATGTATGGCATAAACTTTGGAATTCATTTTAAAAGGGGATGCGTTTGCGTTGCTTGCGTTGCTTGCGTTTTTATCCCCTTTTAAAATGAATTCCAAAGTTTAGGCCATACATGCCTAAATACGTGCTCTCAACGAGTAGGGTAAGGTGCCTAATTAGCGACCCTTTCCGATTTGCGACCTACCTCCCTACAGAAAAACTGGCGGGAGAAAACGGGGTAAAAACATCGTCAAAAGGTCAGCCATACTTTGGTTATCAAATTAAATTATTTTACGGTTGTCGATGTTTCTGGTGGGACGTTTCAGGTGAGTTTAAATAAAAATGACGAGTTTCTTATCCAAAGCGTGTGTGTTTCGGCCTTCTCTGATGAAAAGCGATGCACATTAGGATGATGCACCTTTTTTATTCTGAATCGACATTCCTTTTTCAATTGATTACCGTTTTCCCATAGTGAATGGCTTAACTGTGCACAGCATGGCGGTTAAAAATGTGTCGCAACTCATATTTCCTATTTGCGCCTGACATGGTCGCAAATAGCTCAAGAAGGGAAAGAAAGGGGAAAAGAGATAAATAAAAATGAGGTGTTGCTGAAGCTTGCAATGTGTGGCAGGGGATGCCAAATGTCGTCACCGACTGCAGGGGTGCCGAATTCAGCGCGGACCTCGAATATCATACGAGATAGCCCGCAAAATTTGGGTTTCTGCCTTCTTTTCGCCTTCGGTGCATCACGTGATCAGTTTTTACTTACGTAAATGTGTTGGATGAACGTTCCTATTCGAGTGATTGAGTGCTTTGCGTATAGGTTACCTTTTTGAGATCATATTTCATCTTTTCAGGCGTCGCATTTTTTGCCATTTTTAATATGGGGAAACCCATAGACTTATTAGCGACCCTCCCCGGTCGCTAATCGGGAAGAGTTCCCTATTAGCGTTTTTTGCAATGGTTTGCCAAAATGCTCACTACAAATAAGTTAGTGAATATTGGGACAGAAAATGAATATATTTTAATAGAAAAATGAACGACCTCTCCGAAAATCAAGCCAGTAATACAGTGGCACCCACAGAGCGTGAGCAATGACGGTTCAAATTAAGGGGGTCGCTAATTAGGCACCTTACCCTACCTACTAGCGATTGGTGGTATATTTTCTACCCTAATTCAATATTTGACCCAGTTATGGCAGGTCAAAGGTCAAATTTGCCAACTGAGCTACGGGACGGTCAAAGCCGGTCCCGTAGCTCAGTTGGTAGAGCGTTGGACTCCGCGTGGTGAGAGCACGCGTTCCCGGTTACAACAGTCCGGGTTCGAAGCGCGACGGGCGCTTGACATTTATGGGCCTCCTGACAGGTATGGCTGCGGTTGGTGGCAGGCCGTAGCCAGGTGAAGTCAGTGAGGGGACCGGCCGTGCGCGGCTATGTGCGCACGTTAAACTTTGGACTCTAAATTCTGCCATAGAACTGGAATTGCGCGATCGGAGGGTAGAGGGCAGGGTCACCGCAACAAGCTTCGCTTAGCGGTGGCTCTGTCCTTGTGAATCCTTCCCATCAAAAGGTTCGGACTAAATTTATAAAAAAAAAAAAATCGGGGAAAGCTGCAATTATCCTTTTTTTAGCCAATATTGGCGAATCTATGAAAGATAGCGACATGAAACCTTCATGACCGTGTTTTTCAACGAATTAGCAATAAAATGGTGTATAATTGATTGAATTTCAGTCAGAATAGCGTCTCTAGAGATAGTTTTTCACGTATCACTTTTGAAGCAATAAAGCTAGGCAAAAACTGCATAATTGCTATTAGCAGCAGCGTAGTCCTCTCGTAATTTCGCCTCGTAGCATATATGTGTTGACTTCGAAAGGTCAAGGTCAAAGATTGACCTCGGATCACATAACCTTAAGACGCACACTGGTGGGGCTATTTTTTGCCCCCCCCCCCCTCCGTATCTCCGAAACTATTGGACGGATTCGCTAAACTCAAACGGCGTTCGATAGCCCTGTTGCCTTGAGAAAATTAATTTCTTTGACCTCAGGGTCACTGATGACGTCACAGGTCAGGTCAAAGTTAAAAATTTTCACCGTTCACGGGCCTTCTAGACAATGCGTTATAACATTGATTAAAGGGCATTTTATCGAAAATCATCGATAAAGCGTTGGTTGCCTAGTACAGATGTTGCTAAAAGACGTCACTGATACCAGGTCAGGTAACCTAGAGGTCAGGTCACCAAGGGTCAACACATGACCCCAACTTTACTAGGGCCGTGTGATGCATGTTTTGTGGCCAATTTTTCATTTCCAACTCAATGGTTTTGGTTAGACGGCCATGAGGGACGGTTTAGGTTACTTTCTGGTGGAGGTTAGGTCAAGGTCTGGTAAAAGGTCAAATTTCGAAGTTGATACTTTTGCATAAAAAGGGTACCTACCTATTTCGATGTACCTCATTTCGGGGAATCCAATCGGTCGTAAAACGTCCTCAATTTTGCGACCGATACCCCCGAACCCGATTACGACACGCTGACGAAGTTTTGTGATACAATTCGAAAACTCCGACCCGAACGATTTCTTGGGGGATTTAAGTCCGGATGAACTTATAAGATTCCGAGACATACAAGTTGTAGCTGCCAATGGCCTTATTACATCGTGCACTGCAACTTTCAAAGGACTCGGGCATCTACTGTAGCTCTGAAGCGGTGACAAAATTGCAAAAAAAAAATGTTTATAAAGCATATTCTTCTGTGCCTTCTGATGCGATAGTCCGACACTATACAGTGTAGCTCATGCTGATAGCTCATGCAATAACCCGAGTTTCGAGCATCTAGGATATACCTGAACTGGGTGACCTAAACTTCTGAGACCGGGGTTCCACAATTTCACACGCGATTAGAAATTGATTTATGATAAGCTATGCCAAGTTTCGCGGCGCTTTTACGGGCAAAAATTGCAAGTTTGACCAAAAAACGTCCCACTTCCCCAAGCGAGGATTAATGAAGCTAACATTAAGAATGCGACTGAAGCTGCTTTCCTGTACCTCATTCTGTTAGCCTTTACATTTTTCCGGTCTTTCCCTATCCGTGTGTGTCGGCGCGGGTTCGGCCCAATGTGGTTCGACTGAAAACATGACATCTGGTCCTTTCCGCCCGGCCTGACCGGCGCGGCGGACCCGTGCCAATCCTCCCGAACTCGCGGGGCGCGGATGGGGAGGAGCGGCCCGGCAGTCCAACCCCTCTGCGCTAACAGATGGATGGACAGGGGAAATGTGATACTTGTCCTATAACAACAAACCGGCGTTCAGCGCTAGGGCCATCTACTGGTCTAGAAACGTATCTCTATGTCGGCAAGATCCTCGCCAGGTGGTGTAAAGGTCGCGTGAAACGCACCCTTAACCATAGTGACATATCATCAACCTTAACCATCCATTAGCCAGGCCTTTAAGGCCTGGCTACACTATGCGTTTTTTTCGTGCGTTTTTTGCGTGTTTGCGTGTTTTGCGTGATATCTTTCTAGAAAAAAGAACGATATTACCTACGTTTTTGTGATGTTTTTCACCTTAAATTTTAGTTACATAAGAGTTATATTAGCTTTTGTATATAACCAAAGTAAAAATTATATTGTTTATAACTTTTTTCCTAGAACGATATTACGCAAAACACGCAAACCTGCAAAAACGCACGCAGAAAACGCATAGTGTAGCCAGGCCTTAATCCGAAGGCTTGTCCAGCGTTAAACTATCCTTTTAATCTGAACGAGATGCCTCGAATGTCCCAGCGCACTCTAACTCACCGGAATGTTCGTATTTGTGCCTGGCCAGCGAGCTCTGCTTGTTGAAGGCCTTGTCGCACTGGTCGCACTGGTAGAGGTCCTCGCCGGGCCGGGCCAGGCGGCGCTTCTTGCCCGTCTCGCTGGACGAGTCGTCCCCGGAGCCGCTTAGCTCCGACTGCTGCTGCCGGGCGCAGACACAACTGAGTCAGTGACGAGGACAAGATTTAAGTCAACAATCCGATGTAAAGCGATCTAATGGGAACAGACGCTCGTACCTCTCATTTACGTCGACTTGGCCGTTGTAGCCCAAGCCTGAAAAGTCAAAACTAATGGAAAAGTTAACGTTTATGGTGAAGATGGATAAAAAAGGGTGATATTGCTCGGAATTAGACACTTACCTGGCGTTTTCTGTTCTCGGCCAGCATCTCGCGTTCGGCGGCCCGCAGCAGCTGCTGCACCGCTGACGTCATCGGTCCGCCTTCTGACGTCACTGGCGGTGGCGGCGGTGTGCCGTCGGCCGTCAGGGAGTGTGCCGCGGGCGAGTGCGGCGAGCACGAGCCGTCCCTCAGCGGCAGGCTGGGGACAGCCGGGGACTGTCGGTACGACGGCCGCTCGCCAGGGACCGCCACCGTCGCCGGCGTTGAGGCTCGCGACGAGGGTTCGCTGGCCGGCGGCGGCGAGGCGCTGCCGGCCGTGCTGCGTTTGGTGGACAGGTCCAGCGGCTGCTCGCAGTCCTCGGGAGGGGTGGGCGGCGCCAGCAGCTGCGGCAGCGCCGAGTAGAACATGGGCACGGCCGAGTAGACGGGCAGCGGTGGCCGCTCCACGGCGGCGGCCGGCCGCACCAGGCCCGGCGGAAAGCACGGCAGCGCGAACGGCTTGCCCTCGCGCTTGTCCCGGGCGCGGGTGTTCTGGAACCAGACGCGCACCACCTCCGGCGAGATGGACAGACGCTCCGAGATCCGGTTGACGTCCTCACGGCGCGGCTTGGAGTTGATGATGTAGCTCGTACGCAGCACCAGCAGCTGCTCGTCTGAGAACTTGTAGCGAACTCGCTGTTTCTGAGCGTCGTCGCTGTGCTGCGACGACTCGTTGTCGTTGTCGCTGGCTGGCTGCTCCTCGGCGGTGACGGGCGCCTTCTGTTTGGCCATCAGCTCGCTGAGGCGCGCCGCCAGCCCCTCGCTGAGCCGCTCACCCTCGGGTACGTCGGCGCGACACAGCTGCTCGTGCTGCGCCAGCTCGCGCCGCTCGGCGAAACTGCGCGAGCACGAGCGGCACTGCAGCCAGTCGTCAGCGCGGCTCTCCGGCAAGGCGTCCGCCTCCGCGCCCTCATCCGCCTTCACGCCGACCTCGAGTTTCGGGGTGACCGCCGGCGCCGGTGACGCCGCCGCCGACGTCCTCATCTCGGCCGCCTTCGCCGGTGTCTCGGTGACCGACAGCGACGTCTCCGAGGCTGAGGTCTGCGTCGCCGGCGCGTGGGTGGCCGTCTCGGCGGGCTGGTGTCTCTCCTCCTGCGGCTGGTGCTGCGGCGGCTGGTCAGACTCGTCCTGCTGCCGGGGGGAGGCGGGCGCCGCCGAGCCGGGCCGGCTCGAGCTCTGTTCCACCCTCTCGCGGAACACCTCGCCGGCCATCCGGCTCTTCACCGAGTCGACCATTTTCTGCACGCTGCGCTGCATCTCCTCGTCGCTGAGCCGCTGTGCCGCCGCCGCCGCCGCGGCTGTCTGCTCGGGCGGGGGCGGGGGCGGGGGCGGCAGGCCGGTGGCCGAGACGGTCACTGCGCTCGCCTGTCCGCCGCCGTACAGCGAGAACGGCAGGCTCTCGAAGCGCAGCGGCGCCGGCGAGCCCTTGCTGGTCTGGCTCTGCTGCAGAGAGCGGCCGCGACACTTCTTGGACGAGCGGTGGGACGAGTAGGAGCCCGAGTGGGAGAACCGGTTACCGCAGTCGTTGCAGACGTATGGCTTCTCTCCGCTATGTATCCGTGTGTGCTCCTGGAAGGATCACGATACAGTCGTTCAGGGCATTATATACGGATACCGTCGCCGGATCAGGGCACTGCATACAGACCGTGACATCGAGTCATAGTGCCGGGACATATAAAGTCAGCCGAGCTAAGGCAGAGCTTCTATGTCAAGTACGGTTGATTTTGCGGCGAAAGCTATTTCATCCGGTAATCGAACTTACGAATACCCTTAAATCTGAAAATCTAACTCGCTATTCAAATAATCGAACTATCTCAGTCTAAACAGTTATGTCCAGCGCCCCACGTAATCAGAAGGTGGACCCTCATCGTTTCCGCGAATAGCGTCATCGCCTGTTTACCGGCATAATCCAGTCCAGTCCGGTTAATTGATGATGAAACTGAAGCATAAACGCTGCAGCGGAACATCAATCTGGGAATTAGCCAGTCGTAAATTACTCTCCAGATTGTCCCCAAATGTCTGATGGAATTCTCCTGCGCAGCCAGTCCTCTCAACGACTCGCTACTGCAGACAACGATCTACCGAGCGAATCGCCCGTTCCCTCGCGGCGCCTGGTATGCATGTAACACACCTTCTCCGTCGATCTCTCTTACCTTCAGGTGATGTTTGAACTTGAAAGCCTTGCTGCAGATGTCGCATTTGAACTTGCGCACGTTGGCCGATTCCTCGTGGCTGATCATGTGACGCTGCAGTCCGTAAATGTGCGCAAACGTCTTGTTGCACACGTGACACGACTGGAACAAGAGAAACACCAGCCGTCAGAAAAAAAGACGAATTTGGTAAAAGAGAACGGCAGATAGAGAAGATAGCGAACTGAGAGGACGAAATAAGTTCAACAACAATTCAAAGCAGCGAGTCGCAAGATTCCGACGAAGGGCAGGAACGTGTAGTACGGCGAATAGCGATTAACATAATTTCGAAAGGTATAAATAGATAAAGGCGCAGAGTATGATGAGATGAGTCGCGGTGTGGCGGCGCCGAGGGTACAGAGTGGTGAGCGCTGAGCAGAGAGGTCAGAGCGTCGTCCGACTGGCGTCCCCAGTGCTCTGATACAGACTCGGACGGTTGTCAGCTCTGGCCAGCGCGTAATAACACTGACTGACAGAGCTGGCCGGGACGACACGAGCGGCTCGACACCGAAAACAAACGGTCTCGTCAATCGGACATATATCCCGGAAAAGAAACTGGTTCGGTACACCCGGGACACATTACACATCGCACTGAGTGGACACCGAACCAGGCCGTACAGAGCCGGCTATCAAAACGCAAAATCATCAGACAGCGAGCTATTTTTAAGATAATCTTTAAACACTCCACAGTCTATATATCATGATAGATACTTTAGCATTGCGGTGATTTAAAGCTCGATTTTTTTACATTTATTTTAAAAATCTTTAATTTGCTAAGATAACCTACAAGCTTCAATTAACGTCACAATTGCAATTTACGACGCATTGTAAAATTGTGTCCGTCATATATCAGTGTAATATAATTTCGATGCAAAGTTGAATAATAAAATGTTGTTCCTCACACTTTTTAGTTTCACATGCTGGGCAATAATTTTCACACTTTGGCATTCATGTTGACAAGGAAAATCTAAGTTAAGGCCATTTGTCAGCTTCTTACAAGACAGATGTCAATATCCCCGACACGATGACAACCCACTGTGATAAAATGGGGTGTCACGTCGTTTGGCTATGTTTCCCCAAACTAATAAATTTAAGTCTCAAATAGGTATGACCGACCGCTGTAAGCACATGTAAACTCTGCGGCAAAACGTCGCTATACATATGTATTCTCTATACAGTGGTAATAATTGTTTTACTACAGCAGTTATTGTTTAATTCCATTCACTGAAAGAAAAATGCAGCTAGATTTGTACGGTTCATCGGGTTATACAAAGCCCCGCGGATTTCGTATTACCATAAATCCACCGAGCTACAACAGGCACACGAGATCTGACATGGGCATGACAGCTACTTTAGACAGACGAAACAATGCCGCCTTCACTTTAAAACGGACACTGAGACGGAGCCCGTCTAACATGCAATGTTTGGATCCGACTGCGTCTCATCCCCGTAAAAGCTGGCAAATGATGCCATTTTCTAGACAGTTCCGCAAGAGTGTAGTTGGGAAGTCGGATTCCGTGTCAGCGGCTATAGCGCCCGAGTCAAGTAATATGACCAACTTGGCAGCGTGTCTATTTCGATATATCATTACATATCAGCACCTTTCGCGAAACAACAGGGCAAAAGACAGCATAATATTTAATTACAATCGCTCTCCCTAGGTGGCACCAGCGTCGAGCGCCTGTAGTTAGGCTGTACCGCACTGCTCGCCCGGTATTTGCGAGCCGAACGCGTGATAGTGACGGGGCAAACGGTTACGGAGATCCAAATTTAGTCATCAGTAGATGACTAATGCCTTTCAGGGCTGTACGTACATATTTTGCATGCAAGTATTTCACAACTGCTGCAAATTAAGTTGAAGACAAGACTGGTGAGAAGACATGCTTCGAAATAACTGATAGACGGTATCTTCAACCCGAAACTACCATACATTATACGTTCACCGCGTCAAAACTAAATTAAACAGCAAGGTTTCTGGAACTGTCGTTTTACTATTAATAAGCACTAATCGCATCAGTCAACAGGTACGCGGTTTGTCGTGGGGAGCGGAACTTTGATCCAATGTGCCCTCCTGCGGGATCGGACTGATGTCCGATCCGTGTTCCCAGATCAGCATCGTCCCCGAGACGGAGGGCGCGGCATTGACTCTGTTTGTGTGACAGCGAGGCACCACGTCGCGGAGAAGGAACTAGCCACAAAGGCTCGCTGGGCAGGGTGGCGCGCTGAGCAGGCATGCAAAGTACGGCCGGCGAGCGGACGGAATCTGCCGACTCTGCAAAACTGCGGATGTCGTCCCCGTGCCTCCAAAGGCGCCGTCGCCACCGCCGCCTGCTCCGTCGCGGTATCGCCAAAAGACAGGCGCCCCGCCGGCGAGTTCCCACGTCTCCCGACTCCGCGTCGCGCCGCGTTGCGTCGCCGCAGTCTTCAGAGGTAATTAGTCACACAGGCCGCCGCCGGCGAGTGCACGGTTTATTTGGACAGCGCGGTTTCTCATTGAGGTTGGGTTTCATCTTTCAGTGTCGGCTAGCCGGCTGGATAAATAGACACGCCGGTGCAAGACCTCTGCGGGAGCACACCTTGGCGACACAAGGTAAGTAAAACACGGCGGCCCGCGGAGAAAGTTGTGGAACACGAACTGCAGCCCGTCTGCACCCTGCAAGCTATGATTTGCACACTGCAAGCTATGATCTCCGTCAGATGAGTGAGTCAAGCTTTTTCTCACACACTACACAACCAGAAATGGGGAATGCCGAGTGCGCGCGACATAAAGAAACACGATGGCATCATTTGTAGTCTTGCAGTGAATCTGGGGTAGTGGGGCTCGAACGAAATGTGTCAGAAGGCGATGCTTTCGCAGGAATATGCCATCCGTGGCTGAGTGAATGACACAGGTAGTTAGACAATGCGGTAAAGAAGGAGCTCTTTGTTTGCGACCTGGACGCGTGTGTTGTGTAAAACAGCTCCATTCGTCTCCAGACCGGCACCAAAAGTATCCGATTTTGGCAAGCGCCAAAACAAACTGACAATGACCCTGCGGACAAAGGTGTTCTGACGTGCCAGCTGAGAAATAGAATGAAAATTGGCCACTTGTTTTTACCTGCAAATACTCTCGTTTTTTCAGGTCGAGCCGCTTGCCAGTTGTCTCAGGCCCAGCGGCGGCCGGCCGGAGGTGCCGTTTTTTGTCGCCCGAGGGCAGATCGCGCCCCGGGGATGATGGATGAGCTGCCGCCCTCGCCCCGGCTCACCTGGCCACAGAGCTCCGAGCACTTTTTCTAGGAGACAAAAACGATTTTCTGGCCCTGCGGCGCTCGTCTGTGGCTGGTAAAAACAGCGCCACCTCGTCCCTAAACGGACGAGGTGTCGTCGAAAAACGTCCGGCTCTCCTGACGGTACTGAGCTGACGCCAACTCGAGCCGACTCGAAAATCCACCGGACGTGGGCCAAGAGGGTCACCCAGGGGTCAGACTCGAGTCGCCGCAGTCATACAACTAATAGCGCGGTCGGCGGTCACGCCAAAGGTCTCGCAAGCCTAAAACCTATTTCTCCGCCACTTCCGATGAAGTGCAACGGTTTGCAATATGCACACAAGCTGCTATGAGTCGCTCAAGAGTGAATCTTAAAGCCACATTGTGTTCATTGTTAACATGCTACATACAAAATAAATATGACTCAGCTTTGCTCTGTTAGCTCTAACAGAGCAAAGCTACCGACATCCATTTCCTTACGCTGACAAGAACAAGCATTAGCGCAACTGGTGTAGTGTTGCGTAAAACTCAGAAACTCCATGGATAAATTGAACCAGCCGTATAAATCGTTTGGCAATTTGTACGACGTACAACTGCAAATAAAGATATCAACACGGAATATATTCCCTAGGTTGTTCAGAGAAAATAATTCGATCATAAATTCAGTTATTCTTGACTTAAACAGCGAGTATTGCAGCGGAACCAGACTCCAGTCGGGGCAATCCATCTTACTAGACTTTGTGCTTTGTAAATCCTTCTGAAGTGTCTTAATTCTGACCCAGAAGCTTCAAGCTTTTGTATGGGTTAGGATGTTTGTAATAAATTTGATAAGCTTTCAAGATAGATCAGCACCACTGCCAGAAGTTGCATTATTGCTGTTTTATCTAACTGGCAAGTAAGTACCTACCAAATTGCCATCCTTTTGTCCAAATGCCTCGTAAAGTGGCTGCCTTGTGGCGGCGATATTACCTATCCCAAGACGTACCCAAGGAGGTTTACGTGCCTTCGAGCAACATATACCATCGATGGAAGACGTAAGAGACGTTCTAAAAAGAACGGGACAGGCGATAGGCAGTAGACATTCGTATCCCCTTTTATGAAAGCGTTGGACGATGTAATTCCCATCTTACACACTATGCTTTAATCGTCCAGGAATGTGGCGCTCAGCAAGGAAAATATCGATGTATTTCATCAGAAGAAGCGGCTGCAATGATTTCAAGCTGCTAATTATTTGAACCCATGGCCGCAGGACCAGATCTCAGCCACTACGGGCGGCCTTCAAACAAAGAATCCTTCCAACGGAAGTGCTATCAGCTTTCTCATTAAGCGAAATGACACCGTTAAAATTGTGACTAACATAACTCGGACCATATCTAGCGAAAGCCATTAGGTGAATTGCGATAGCCCAGTACCTTAGATGGACCGCAGCGAAACGGACACTCTTCATGATTCCGTCAGAGGCCATGGAACATCGTATCAGCTCCGAGCCGAGTGAAAGATGAGAATGTAATTAACCTCTTTGCCTACAGCTCAATTGCCCAAACATCTCATCTGTTGGCATCCGGCCACAGGGACATGCATCGCCATTTTGTACTGACACCAAACACCTGATAACCGACAGCAGAAACAAGTCCAAAGGCTGAGGGTCTCCGTCGCTCTGTGCGGTCTGATCTGACCCCGGCACTACTGCGCACGGCGCGGCGGCTCGTCTGAGGCAGCCGGTGGCCACCATATCCGGCGGAAGGTGAGCCCACATGCCGCACGGGTCGCCGGGGGTCGGCGCCGCCGGGTGCCGGCTCAGGTGGGCCGTCAGAGCCCCGGTGTCGGTCTCAGGTCGCAGCGGCGGACACAGGAGACGGGCGCACACACTCTGACACGCACAGCGCGAGGGACGGCGCAGCGGCCGCCGGTGTCCGGTGCAGCGCGCAGGGTCACCGGCACAGCGCGGCGACTCGCACCCAACATCGGACCGGCAATGATGAGTGCGGCCCATTGATTTACCTCCTTAGCTAGCAGAGCCAAGGGGACAATGAGGTTCAGCGTCTGATGTCAAGTTGGTCATTGTGTGCCAGGACGAAGCCAGATGAAGTCTTTCTGAGAAGGAATCAGGACGAAAGGCCTTGCCAGCGCTTTTTTGCCTTTTTGTATCTTGATAACACCCTGTTGTTGTTTTTTACGTTCCCAGCCGAAAATCAGGGCCTACACAAAGATGTCACGTCTCGGCTACCAATTTGTCCATATCAATTTCCGATTCAATTAAGGACTGGACAGTCACATCCCTAAAACATTAACAATTTTCATGCAAACATCACACTCATGCACGGTGAGGTGGCGAGGAGCGGAACTTACCACCTGCGTGGGCGGGCCGTGGCCCACCTCGTGCACCTCGAGCTTCTCCTTGGAGGGGAACGTCATGCCGCAGGTCTGGCACATGTGGCCGAGCGGAGAGGTCAGCTGGGGCGCACCAGCCAGACCCGCCTGCTGGCTCGCCAGGCCCTGCTTCAGCGCCCATACTGAAACCAGACGAGACACGAGGTCAGGTCACGGCGGGGAACCGAGGTCAACTCACGATGGGGTATCGAGATCACATGGGGAAGAGCTGAGGCCATGCCAGAGGGCACGGAGAACGGATCACTGGGAACTATGGTCACGTCATGGAGGCGAGTTGTCAGTTCATAGAGATGGCTGGCTTTGGGTCACAGATAGGACTGAAGATCACAACTGAGAACTGGCTTCCAACCGCTGGATGATGGAGATGATGCAGCCAGATAGGTGATGTGGCGGGTCAGGTGACTGATTGAACAAGTCCGCGGACAGCGAGACAATGAGCCGCACAACGAAGGTCAAATTACGACAAAAACAATGCACCAAAGTAGCATTGCATGGCGGCAAGCAAAATAATAGACGAAAAGATTACCAAGATAGCCAACAAAGGTATGGCGCTATTTCCACATTAAGTCCGCACTCGAGATAGGCTAAGATTGCGCCCTCCAAAGTCCCAAAACACAGCAGTGGGGAAACAGTTTTGAAATCGTTGTTTTCACGGACATGACAAAACAACCCTCATCGCCGTCCCCAAAACTAAGCCTCTGACCAATCCAAATGAAACTTTATATAATTTCCTTGATCTCACGTCAAATGCTGCTACAAACCACATTCAACGTTCAATCAGCAAACAAATGTTCCTCGGCATTCTAAGCTAAATAAGACACGTCTGGCCACTCAGACGGGCGGCGGACGGCCACTGGACAGTGCCGTCTGCCCCGAGCCAGTGATGGACAGCATCTGACGGAGCGCCGTCCGTCTCCCGGTGCGGCCCGACCGGCCGGCGGACCGGTGCTCCCCCTCACAGCGCCCCCCGCAGCCCGGCGGCACTCCGATAGAGACGCCGCCGATCGCCGCCAAAGGTCATCCCAATGCAGATTTGTGGCGCAGCCGATGACCGCTCGACGAGCGGTCATCGCTCTGGCTGACAGAGTCGCCGCCGCGGCTGACCGCGACACCGCTCCGGCGACTGGATTACACCCAATCGAACCAAGTCGGCGCCGCGAGCGAAAACTGGCCCGCCTAATGCCGGCTCCATCCCGGCCGCCGATCCGGTGGATCGGTCTTATATTATTAACGCGATATGTCATAATCAAATGCTTGCATTGGCGACGATATCAGCGGTCATCTGAGCTGCAAATTGCACGGTCGTCGCCCGGACGACGAGGCTGGGATATGAGTCCGCGGCCGGCGGCCGGCCGCCAATGAACTGACCACGTGAAGCGAATCACGAGCCGGCGCCGCCGCCGAGCCGACTGCCGCCCAGCTCTGAATTGTCGCCCCGGCCAGATAAGGTGTATAAATCAAAATGAGTACTTTATGGGCTACAAAGCCGGCAGGGGCGGGATGAGCGGGCGGCGGACCGGCGGCGGTGAGGCGGCCCAGCGCCGACCCGGCGCGGCCCGGCCAACTTGCGGCTCGTCGGGCGCCGTCTAACGGCACGCGAGTCAATAACGGCGCGGCAGGGACGGTTACGGCCGAGACAACAGGGCCATAAAGGGCCGCCGCCGCCGCGCCGCCCACCGGCCGCGCCGCGGCGCCCGTGAGCGCCCATCATCGCGGCCCACCATCGACGCCGACGGGGCGCCATCGGGGCCGACGGAACTGCCGCGTGACTCTGCGTGACGGCGCGGCCCACCGGGCGCGCACCGCTCAGGGGAGGATTTGATGGCGGTGCGGCGGCGGATCGCCGTTCAGCTTGTTTCATGTACTGTATATCAGTCAGCCATCTCAAGCAGGGCCATAATTTCGACGGTCCGGAGCTGACGGCCGGGTGAAATCTACCAAAGGCGAATTTAGTGTCACGCTGAAATGTGCCGCGCCGATAAGCGCTGGCCGTGCCGGCACATCCGGTCAGGCTGAGAGACAAACGTTCCGGGGACTGAGTCTCCCTCTCTGGCTGTCTCCCGGCGGCTGGTTCTCGGACAGGTGGCCACATCTGGCGCCTCCGCGACCGTCCTCCCCGACCGGTGAGCGCCGGCCGACCCCCGGCTCCGCCCCGGTCCCCGGCGGACGGCACCGGGGGCCTAATGACCGTGAGCCGCCCTGCCCTCATCGAGGGGCGGCCACCCGACACCCCCGGAAGGTGACCGGTAAGCCTGACGAGCGACGGTGATAATGGCTCGGACCTCTGATGGTCCCACCGGCCGGCCCTCCACTGTTATGGGCCGATCCTTAGCAGCTCCGCCCGTCTTCTCACGGTTATTCTCACTGTGGGAACAAACTCATCACGTGGGATCACTGAGAGGCTGTGTGCACGGTGAGGTGCACAGATGTGCACCGGCGAGTGAAGCGGCCTGTTCTCGGCGGTCGGGATTCTCGGCACAGAGCCATGCATGAAAAGCATGTGAGAGTGATGTGACGTGCACATGCTGAGCGTCGGTGGCGCCGGTGACTGATGTGTCGTGCTCCAGCGAGTGACAAATGTAAGCACCGCAGGGCGCAGGTCCGGCCTGTGTCCGGCGGCACACGGCAGCCGAGGACTCCGCGACCCTGACGTGGCGCTCTGACGCACCGTCCACCATACCGCACCAGATGACTCAATATAAATAGATGGAGGCAATTCCAGCAAGCAGACACACGTAGTCCACTTATGACTGCCATCCCGGACATCACCGGACCCGTCATGAGCTCCACATACCTATATGGTTCCGAGCACCCCGACCGCAAGTCTAAACAGCCGCTGGCGCTGCCGCGGTCTCTGCTGGGGAGGCGGGGATTCCACGCACGGTGCAATGGGCGTGACATGGTCGGAAGGGCCCATGGGCCGGGAAACCCGACATAGGAAGCGACCAGCATCCGCCGAAGGCAGCGTCGGTCAAAATCAGGTGATAAGTGGAAACACTACGCAATATCAAACTACGGAACAATAATGTCTATAATGTCCGAACTGCAATGTCCGAGCGGTGCTACGCGGTACGCGTAGATCACACAGATAAATTCATCGAAGCACTTATAATCTTTATATCTTAAGACTTAATTCCGATCATTAATAGCAGAAACAACAAGCTCCAATGCATACAAACGTGGGTAAGAAAGCCGACGCCAGCACAAATAGCCTGGGAGGCCCGTTTGTCCGGTCGTTATGGAGGCCGGCCGGTGAATTGGCCGTCGATTCATCCGCAGTCGATCGACTCGCCCGGCTAAATCACGGCAGTGGGCAGTTGTGAGGCCATCAGAGAGACGGGACGGCCCACTGTTCCAGCGGCGATCGAAGCCCGGTGCGATCATCGGCACGATGACCCGGCCCGAGCGGGGCAGACCCGGGCCTGACCCGGGGCTACCGGACGGGACAGCCCCGGGCCGGGTGGGCCGACTGCCGAGCCATGCACACCCGGGCCCAGCGGGACAGACCCGCGAGTCGCGACAAGCCGAGTCACCGAACGCCTTCATGGCTCTACGTTACAACAGGCGCAGATAGCGTGTCGAGCTATCTCAAATTGAGTAGGCGGCTGAGGAAGGAAACAAGTGTAGGAAAGGAGCGGGACGTCCTGGAACCCACGGAACTAACGGCTCTGGACATTACGGAACTACCGGGATACAGCGAGGCCTATCGTCCTGGCGGGACGAGCGGTTTAGCTTCCTGGCCGGAACAAAAAGAGAGAGGATTCGCAGAGGCCGGGGAAAGAGCAAACCTCATGCAACAGACCGGACTCGGGAACACACGGAACGGGATCGGAATCCAAACGACGGGGACAGGCTGCCGAGTCAAGCGGTTAGTTCCACGGAAGCTGAAAAAACGCGACATAAAAACCCGAAACCAAAGCGACTGGTTCGCTCAGACAAGGATAATGGGAAATGGAAATCACTGGGTGGTCCAATCGCCGGAGCGATTGTCGCTGATATTCGTCCAAACATCGGCCACTAGGGTAAACAACATGGACCGGGCTACGAGAGAGGACCGAACCGGGCGCGGGCGAGGACCCAACGGAGCACGAGAGAGGACGGAACCGCGCGCGGGAACCGGGAACAAGAGAAACCGGGCCGGGCTCGAGAGGAACCGAATCGGGGATTTCGGCAGGCCCTGAGGGATGTACGAATATCGCCTCGAATCATGTGATTAAACAAATGCACTGCTTGCCTAAGTTACTGCATTATATGAAAGTGAGCAGCGCTGGATTAACCTTTATCATAAACCAAACGAAAGAGGTGTTCACTTCATAACTAAAAAAAGAAGTGTTTTATAACTAGCCGTGAAAAAACACGGTTGCGACAAACAGAAAATGACACATAACTACCAAAGCAGTGTCTATTCAACCGAGGGCCAATCCGTGAGCTCTTGCTATATTGAAACACCTCAAGTAATTTAATGGTATGACTGGCTGAACCAGAGCTTTTAAGTAAGACTGGGGTCAACCCAAATCCCAGTGACATTTATCAGTTTGCTATAAACAATGTGGACAGCAGTGACATTGCCAGCGGGCCAAATGCATTCATCATCTCAAAAGCAACAAGTTATTCTAATTCCAAAACAACCTCAGCAATAAACCAAAGCAATCCAATGTTGAAAACACGAAGTCACATTGACATGACATGACAAACGCCTCCACCTGCATACTAATGGACACAGCCCTTGTTCACTCTTCACAGAAACAACGCGCACAGCCCAATCTGACCAAAAACAAGCTCCGGCGACCGCGTGCGACCGAGTCGTGCCGGTCAATCAGCCAACTTACGTGGATCGTGCAGCCAGGGACTCCAGAGTTTGGCCGAGGGCAGCGGCGCCATGGGCAGCGGACACCCGTTCACGGCACTGTACCGGCTGCCGGCCGCCAGCAGGCTGTCGTACGCCGCCGAGTAGAACATCGCGGCTCCCCGGTGCGCTCCCCTGTCCGCCCGCGGCACCGGTCCGCGCGCTTCTCTCTCACGCACTACTGCCCTCTGTCGGTGGCGCGCTGCGCCCGTCCGTGCGGCGGTCCGCGCGCGGCCGTCTGTCCCCAACCGAGGAGCGCCGAGCTCTGCCAGCGAG